TTAGTACCGCTTTATGTCACCCCTAGTTCCTTTATCTAGAGTAGTTTGCAACGTTCTTCATATGCTTTAGTCTCCAGTCTTTTAATCATTTTAGCTGTTCTTCTCTGCACTATTTCCAAAGTCTCATCTTTTTAAAAATAATGAAATGACTAAAATAGGATGCAGTATTCCAGGTGTGGTCTTACTAAGGTTTTATAAAGCGGTACTAATACTTCATGTGGTTTTGATTTTATGCCTCTCTTTTTACAACCAAGGATTGTTGCTACTTTTTGAGATTATTTTTTTTCAACCTTTCAATTTCTTGATATTCTGTCCAAGTATTAACTAGAACTAATCTTGCTTGGTGTTTTAAAGATCAGTCAAGATTTGTCTAAGTGCTGTACGGTGTTTACGGTATTGAGGCATGTTCAGAAGAATAAATGTATTTAGTCCTTTCTTGATATGTCATCTTGATGGTGGTTGATTTCTGTAAAACCAAACCCTTGCATGATTAGAGTGGCAAGAGAGCATGCTGGATTTTGGCATTTAGTTCAGGTCTGAGCAGTGAACATTCTCTCTCCTAGTTTTATTTTTTTTTAAATCCGCATGGGTAAAACTAAGAGAAAATCTGAACTTTAAAATGCCACAATCTAAAGCAGATTTCTGCATCTTGGAGATACCTTGAATACCTTGTTAGTCACTTGCTGAGCAAGCTCTCTTTATTATCAGCTCTCTTTCTTCTCATGATGCTGTGTCTCTTCCAGACTGTCCAAAATGTAAGTCTACGCCAGTGGTGGAATTCATTTTTTTTACTACTGATTTTGTGGGCGTGGCTTGGCAGGGTAGGGTGTGGCTTGGTGGGCATGGCAAGGGAAGGTTACTGCAAAATCCCCATTCCTTCCCGATCAGCTGAACTTGGGAGGCAGAGAATAGGTGTGGGCGGAGCCAGTCAGAGGTGGTATTTACCGGTTCTTCGAACTACTCAAAATTTCTGCTACCAGTTCTCCAGAACTGGTCAGAACCTGTTGAATACCCACCTCTGGTCCACACCCTCTTTTCTAAGCAATAATGCAACATCAGCCATTAGGTTTGTCTCTTTGTGTTTTAAACTCTTGCAAATTCATTTAACAAAAGCTACACAGTTTTATTTTCACACATCAACAAAATTTCAGAAAGAGATAAAAGAAAGAAATCCCCCACCCCTTCCAAAAGCAATGCTATTTTAGAGCAATCCCCAACTAAAAAGAGAAAGAAACCAATTTATACAAGAAGTCTGAGCTATTTACATTAAAAGGCCTGAGAGGGAAAAAGTATTAACTTGTCTCCCATTCCACAGAGAAACGCCTTTTTTATTATAATCATACTCCATATTATTTTAAATAGTTTTAAGCTATCTTGGCTGTTAAACAGAATCAAAACAAGTGCTGACTGCTCAATTTGAATCACTTTTTAAAAAAGAAATCTACAATAGTGGCCAGAACTACAACTTGAACTTCTGCTGCACTTCTTCCATTTTATTTTCGACAAGAATTGTCTATGGCCCAGTGTCTCTCTTACAAGCCCCATGGAAATGGGTGGGATGCACTTGGTGCATTGCTTTCGGAGCCACTTCCTCCTCTCCCTCTAAAAATAATTGCAATTATCCCCCAAATGGATTTACATATTTTATTTTCAACAATTATATTAGTTTTCATAGGAACTCCCACTCGATTTGTTGTTCATATACTACAAAGACCTCTTTGTCACTAAGGAGTCTGTCTATTTACCAGCATAAAACATGAAAAAAACAGTGGGGCAAAATATTTATTATTATTAATATTAATATTATTAATATCATTTTTCTTTAAAACTGACAAACTCACAATTGCTAAGAAAAGCACAAACGAATTGGGGGGCAAGCAGTGAGCGAGGGCGTACATGTTTAAGAACAGCTAAGGAACATCCCTTCCCAAAGAAGAGATGAGCGTGCACAATTATTTGCCCATTCCTGCTTTACTGAAGATGCAAATCAGTGACAGATCCAGCTGAAACTGAGACGTCAACCCCTTCTTCTCCTCCACCTGACAGCCACATGCCTTTCCGTTTTGCTCTCCCACCCCCACCCTCAACCCCTCTAGTAATGTCCTTCTGGGAAAAGAAGCCAGCAACTGATTATAAAAATAAGGATAATCTGTAAAATTTGGCTCAGTGGTTCTGTCTTGTCACTTTGCTGAAATCCATCTTTGTTTAAAAAACCAAAAGGGGAGGAGGGATATTTTTCCCCCCTGTTCCATATACTACAAGGGCTGAAGAATGGCTGCAAGTTTTTGAGATACCAAAAATCTCAGAAAAATATATAATATACATATATATTTATATATATATATATTTATATATCCGTATGTCATTATTTAAATTTCACATTCCTTTGAAAAGTGGGTCATTCAGTCAGTAGCTGCTGAAGAAGACTTTTCTGCTGGGCTTGTGGGGTCTGAGAGGCTGTGCTGCCTTTCTGTGTATCCACGGAGCCAGGCTGGTTCAGGTAAGGGTCTCCGCCCACCAAGTTGACTGTACACTGCACATCAGCAAACACCTGGACCTGCTGGACCTGCCAGGACACAAAAGAGACTGTTAGCCAAGCATGGGAAAAGGCCCCCGGGCAGATGGACTGGGTACTACGGTGAAGTGGAAACTCACTAGAGAATCCTCTAGTCTGTAGTCACCACAGAGAAGGGCTCTTCTGTCTTCTTGCCCTACAAAAAGAAAACCGCTGCACTCATTTGGATCAGAGCTAGGTAAAAGTTCACATCTTCTTACATTCAGGACAAGATGGGCTACACCCTGGAGGTTCCAAGTTTGTTGGGGGGGGGGGGAAGAGGAGGACAACGTGGGGTAGCTTTTTCTTCAAGACCGAGTTTGGTCTAGTGCAGTGGCTACCAACCTTTCTTGGCCATGCCCCACCTAAGCATCTCTAAAATCGTGATGCCCTGCAACATCTAATTCTTACTTTACTCAAAAAGTGAACTCTACTCACACAGAGGAAGCCTAAAAGTAAACTTGTTAAACTTGTTTAACGTTAACTTGTTTTAAACCAAGTTCAAATTGCTCCAATTAAAAATCAAATCGCCCCCCTGTGGGGTGTGGGTTAGGGTTAGGGTTTCACATTGGGAACCACTGGTCTAGTGCTTAAGGCATCAGGCTAGAAATCGGGAGACTGAATTCTAGTCCTTCCTTCGGCATGAAAGCCAGCTGGGTGACCTTGGGCCAGACACTTTCTCTTACTTACATGGTGGTTGTGGGGAAAATAAAAAGGAGGAAGGAGTATCAGATATGTTCGCCACTTTTGAGTTATTTATAAAAATAGAGAAGGCAGGATAAAATATTGAAAAAATAGTCAAAGCTGCAGAATGAGGATGAATGCATGCATGCAGAACCCAGGAACTAACAACCAATATTATGAATCCTGAATAGTATGGGGAAATAGTGCCAAAAAGTAGTAGCCGGTTATAGAGCAGAGTGTATGACATTAAAAGAAATGGACTCAGAATGCTGTAACATTTAAAAATAAAATTTAATTGTTATTTAAATCTGTTGTTCAGTAAGCTCTTACTTCAGATGTGTAAATTATGCATGCCCTGGAAACTGTATGCATGACTATAAACATATTCTTAGCATGCATTTATCACAGAGTACAAAATGTTTCAATTAAAGTACCTTAATAAATTTTAGAACAGACCTGAACAGTAGGCCAATATATTTACATTCAGACTAATCTACCTAATAGGCTTATACCTGGAACTTAGTTCAGAATACAAGAATATTTATTTATCACCAAGCTTGCTTCTGTACACAAACTTATGCAAATTTGTTTTAGCAGGCTATTTATCAACTTCCCTGTGAAAAAGCCTACAAATACTGGCTGTCTCCAAAGTAAATTTAATTTTTAAATAGATAAGCTTTCTACTGAATTTTTATTACAAACCACTTCACAAAGTTAAATAGGAAGCAGTCTACATACATTTTGGTAAATTAGTGTTTACATTGCCTCACTGTATATATGTCATTTCTGTTCTAAAGTCAGTGTGAACATCCACATTGTTAAAATTCTGTTTTCACCCCCAAAAAACCCATTAAAGGCTAAAAACTGACACCTATTTTACAAATTAGCATTTCCAGCTGGAGCTAAGCTCAGAGCATCTGCTTGATCCCATCAAATTGCGACTGGCCAAGAAGGGTAGCCTGCAATGAACCCTCCCAAGATGTTAGTGATTAGATGTTAGAGGCAGGTTTTCTGGGCTGATTCCACTCCAATATGGAATGGCATAAAATCCATTTTGGATTTTATGATGTTATGATTTGTGGGATTATTGTGTTTTATTGTTTGCACAGTACAGTATCCTCTTCCTCTCAAGAGCCTTGACAGCCTCTCAACGTTTAATACAAAATCACCCCGACTGGTGTTTTCTCTATATAATGAATTATAATTCCCATCACAGTATGCCAATTTGATAGAACACCAAGTTAGGAATGATTTTATTTTATATAGTACTCATAAAAGAGCAAGCAGTGGATGGAAGCTCATTGAGGGAGATCCAACCTGGAAGGAACTTCCTGACAGCGAGAATGATGGAACAATTTGCTCTTGGAATGGTGGGCATTCAATTGCTGGAGGTTTTCAACAAAAGATTGGACAACCATTTGTCTGGGATTGTATAAGATCTGCTGCTTTGAGCAGGAGGTTGGATTAGAAGACCTCCAATGTCCCCTCCAGCCCTATGATTCTACAATTTGAAGTACTTCTTGGTTCATGGGTGCACCTGATTATTATGTCCCTGCATAATGTGGAGTATTGCTAGTATGACTTCTCTGATCTCAATCCTGATCATAAATCTCACAGTTCCATATGCCTATGTAAGCATTATTCCTCATAGGTTGAAACTCTGGCAAAGAGTTGTCTGGCAAAGCTAATCAAACAAACAAAAAACCTTTGGGATCACCATTATTATTATAGTAGTTGCAGTTACTGTATCACATGGCATTACACTTTGACATCCTACCCATTTGCTACAGATGGGTTTAGCATAAAGAATAAGCAGGTAATATAATAAACATCAATATTCAAGTTTACCATTTTTCATCCCTTATTGAAATAGAGAACAGTTTCAGGGACTCAGAAGTAGTTTTTCTAATTTGAAAGTGGTTCTTCACTTTCCTTAAGCTTTAGTGAACAATCTCCATGTGTTTGGAACAGGGATATGTTAAGGTAATGGATAGAATCTACAATGTGCTATATACAAAAATCAAATTCATTTCATTATGTTACAATTGGTGTGTGAAACCACACATTGATTATAAAATAGCATGCTTCTATGCATTGGGAAAATGTGACAATGTCATTTGCTGTGCAATCTGTGCACATCTCTGCTATTCCAGGTAAAATAAAGAAACGTATCTTTAAATATTGAGCCCTTGAAAGGACTTCAAATTGCATATAATAGAACTAGTATCTTAATGGATGCTTCAGACAGTCACACTGAAGGACTAATTAACTCAGCAGATTGTGCTGAATCTCGCTAGGTAATAAAGGTATCTAATAACCATTGCTTACACCAGCTTTTTCCAACCTGGTGCTGTATCTTCTAATTAGAATAGGGAGCTCTCAAGCTGAGAAAGGCTATCTTACATTGTTTTTAAGCCACAAAAGAACTCTCAAAAACCCTTCCATGGAAAAAAAAAATCCCACTCATAACTGACCAAATGGCAGTTGGTCAAATCAGTTCCACGAAAAATAGGTTTAAAATATTTGGATTATTAATTCATTTCAAATATGAAGGCAAGTCATGATAGCAGTGTTCCAATATCTCAGGGGCTGCCACAAAGAAGAGGGAGTCAAGCTATTCTCCAAAGCAAGTAGTGGTAGGACAAGAAGCAATGTGTGGAAACAAATCAAGGAGAGAAGCTACTTAGAACTAAGAAAAAATTTCCTGACAGTTAGAACAATTAATCAGTGGAACAACTTCCCCCAGAAGTTATGAATGCTGCAACACTGGAAGTTTTAAAGAAGAATATGAAGTCTCCAGCAAGGTAGGTGACGAGGAAGGG